TATATAACAGAGCAGATCTTAAATTGTGAATTTGCAATTAAATTAGCTCCTCTGTTTTCTGTCTGGGCACCTCCCATTCATGTACCTGGAGTCTTCCAGGCAGACTATTTCACCTAAATTACCTCCTACCACCTCTGTGCTGCACAGATTTGCACCATAAGTCTGGGTCCTGCTGGGCCTAGCAGTATGCTTCAAATCACTGGATCTAGTTTTATGGGATTCAAACTCAACCTACCAGACCTGGCTTGGGTCTGGCTGCTGGGCTCAGCTCCTTCTGGCTGTGCTCCAATAAAGTGGATTGGCTGGGTCTGGCTGCTGGGCTTGGCAGCTTCTTCTGAGTGCTCCTACTTTGGACATATTTTTCAGCCACATTAGCTGAACATGCTCCAAAAGCAAGGATTTATGACCTAAGTTACCATCTTGAGGTCACAGATACTTAAAGGGTGGTCTTACAGAACTAAAATCCCCTTCATTTTAAAAAGTATGTTATCTATTTTACTGTGTCTTTAAAATATGATTGTTCCATGGTTAGTCTGATAGTATCTCCTCCAAAATGCATGTTGCAAATATCCAGTCCAACTGTATTAAGAAGTACTCTTTGAAAGATGATTAGTCCTCTAGTCATTAATCATCTCATGAATGGAAACTGCACTCTGTAAGTGTTGAAGGGAGCACACACTTCCCTTCCATCTCTTCTGCCATCTGAGGACACTGCATCTGTCTCTTCCAGTTGAGGGAGTGACAAGGTACTGACTTGGAAGCAGACAGAAGCTCTCACCAGCCCCCAGTCCTCCTAATGCCTTGATCTTGGGCTTCCCAGCTTTTAGAACTGTTAAAATAAACTTTTGTTGTTTATAAATTACTTGGTACACAATATTTTGTTAAAGCAGCAGAAAGAAACTAGGAAAAGATAATGTATCAAATCTTCATTTCACAGACCTTATTCCCTAGGACCAGGCTACTCCCTCTTTAAATTTCATATTTAAAGAAAAATATGTATGTATGTATGTATGTATGTATGTATTTTTATGTATTTAGAACAGGGCCTAGAGGGTCTACAAGGTCTACAGGGTCTCACTACATAGATTGGACTTATAATGATTCTCCTGTTTTTAGCCTCTTGAGAGCTGGAATTACAGGGGGAAGCCTACAATTCATACCCAGTCTCAATCATCATCTCAGTGCACCCTGGGGGTGAGGCTGGAATGGTATGCTGGGGACTGAACCCTGGCCACTGCACTCTGCCTAAGCAGGCATGTTAGTCCACTGAGCTATCTGGCCAGTCCTCCCCCCCAAAAAAAAACGTATTTAAAGAAAAATAATTAAAGAAAATGTATTTAAAGAAAAAATATTAAAAGCAATAACTAGTTTTGTTTAAGTAGTTGTATGTCCAGAGTATTTTTTTCTGTATTAACTGAAATAACCTTTTAAGTGAATGATTTTTTTTTCATCACCATCATATAAACTATAGTGCTAAAACAAAGGTGAGTGAAGAAGTTAGTTCAGAGGCTATAGCCAATAATGGATCAATAATAGGAACTGGACCCAGAGTTCAGGCCCAGTGAGTGAGTGAGACTACCTGGGGCCCGCGGATCCTGAAGTGACACGGAGCCCAGGCCCGGCCTGTGAGTAAGACAACCCAGGACTGCCAGATCCTTAATAGACCCAGAGCCCAGGCGTCTCATGTGAGTGAGACTGCCTGGGGCCCACTGGATCCTCATTTGAACCAGAGTGCAGGTCCAGTGTAGAACCCTTCAGCAGAACTCCCTGCAAAGAGGCTAGAGGCAAGACCCACACCACTGATACAGGAGCACAACATCTTGCAGGAGTGACACAAAGGGTTCAACTCCAATGCCTGCAGCAGAAAGAAGTGGAGCACAGCAGCCAGACCCCAGCCAGATCGAAGCAATCTGAACTTCATAGATCCGGACCTGGTGCTCAGGTAATAACTCTATCTAAGCTCTACACCAAAGGTCAGAAGACAGTGGTATACAAAATGACAAAGAGAAGGAACAAAAGGCAGTCTCAGGCCCCGAGTCCACCCAGTACAAATGCAGAAGACACTAGCACAGAGGAAACTGAAATCACACACCTGATACTCTGAAATAATAGCATTGGAAGTAAAGAATCAACTGCAGAAAGATATAGAAGAAATCAGATCAGAAAAAATTTCTGAACTAAAAAAAAGTAGTGATAACTATAATCAAAGAAATACTAAGTGCTTCTAAAGCATACACTGATAAAAAAAAAATAGAGCAGATTATAAAATAGATGGAACTCCTGAATAAGAAATTTAGGAAAGAAATAGAGTGTATGAAACAGGTTCAAAGGGATATACAGGAAATTAAAACCTCAATCACAAGCTGGCAAAACCGTTTGAGTGAAGTGAAAATAGACTTTCTGACCTTAAAGACATCATTGCAGCTAGTGAAAAAATAAGAAAAGATCTCTTAAAAACAACTAGGATGCAGGAAGAAATAATTCAATACCTGCAAGACGATGCAAAGATGAACAATGTGAGACTAATAGGCATCAATGAGAAGGAAGGAGTCAATACAAATGATATAAAAAGAA